TGCTGTGGGTCCACACAGGCCCAGGGGATGAGCGTAACGACAGTCCTCCTCAATCCTCCACCAGGAGGTTTCTGCCCTCACTGTTGCCAGTGAGAAGCAAACGGTAGGGAACAAGGAAGACAGAGTGGCAGGTGCTTTGAGAACCTGCTTGAATCCCAGCTTAGCTACTTATTCTCCATGGGAACCTGAGCAAGTCACTTAACCTCCCAAAGTCTCACTACATCAGCTGTAAACTTTGGGTAACTTTATGAAGTTACCATGAAGGTATCCTAACATGGGGTTGCTGTAAGGCTCAGAGGCAATACACATAAAGAACCTGCAACACGGAAGTTGTGCAACAAGTAATAGTTCATATCAATATTATTGTTTTAACTACAGCTGGTTTTCGACAAGATCTGAAGTTCTTATACATACTTTAAGTGCATTAGGCTCTCTGCACACCCATATCAAGGCCAAGCAATGCTGCACTTCCTCATACATGCATTGGCCTGAGCCCTGCCCTCTGCGGTAATTTGACAGTCTTCCACCTGTAGGCAGATGTTCTGATGGGAGAATTCCACAGATGCAGTTGGATCAGCCTGAGAAGAAACTGGCTCTGGAATTAGTCTGCTGCTGGGTTTCATTATGGCTCCACTATTTAATAGAAGACAAGTTTCTCAACCTCCCTGAGCCTCAGTTTTCTCATCTCTAAAATGCAAATAATAGCAGTCCCTAATTGCCAGGCTTGTTTTGAGGATTAAATGGGATAATACCTGTGAAAACCTCAGTGCCTTAACTCATCTTTAAAAAATAGCTAAAAACTATTAACTCATGACTTGTCCTAAAGTCTGTCCTTTCTTCTCAGAAAGAAAGCAAAGAAACAGGCTGAGTGCAGTGGCTCACGCCTGTAATCCTAGCACTTTGGGAGGCTGAGGCGGGTGGATCACTTGAGGTCGGGAATTTGAGACCAGCCTGGCCAACATGGTATAACCCTGTCTCTATTAAAAGTATAAAAATTAGCTGGGCATGGTGGCACACGCCTGTAATCCCAGCTACTCTGGAGGCTGAGGTGAGAGAATTGCTTGAGCCTGGGGATTGGAGGTTACAGTGAGCTGAGATCATGCCACTGCACTCCAGCCTGGGTGATAGAGTGAGACCCTGTCTCAAAAAAAAAAAAAAAGAAAAAAGAAAAGAAAGAGGAAAGAAAGAAAGAAAGAAAGAAAGAAAGAAAGAAAGAAAGAAAGAAAGAAAGAAAGAAAGAAAGAAAGAAAGAAAGAAAGAAAGAAAGAAGCAAAGAGAGAGATAAAAGTACTGGGTTGGGATTCCAGTGACTTTGAGTCAAGTACTGATTCGGCCACAAATTAACTGAGTGATGTTGGACATGACCTTGCCCCTCTCTGTATGTCAGTTTCCCCACAGTTTCAAACCAGCAGGGTTGGATTAGGTGAGCTTCTTCAACTCTGACTCTGGAGAAGGGCTGATGAGAAGGTTATATAGCTGCCCGCTGTTGAGTCTGGATGGCCCCAGTCTTCCCATACAGAGGAGGATCAGGAAGGGGACTAATCCTCAAACCAGTGGCCTCATCAAACCAGTGCCTTAGTTAAGGGAACTGCTGTGGGAATGCACAATCCCAGCTTGAAATTCTCTGTCACTGTGTGTGAGCTTATGAAAGTCACTTCACCTCTCTGAGCCTCAGTTCCTTCGTCTGTAAGATGGGATTTAAAGTGGTGCCAGAGTAAAGAATTGTAAGAGCACATGAGGTAACGTCTGCTAAGTGCTTAGCACACAGAACTCGGTAGAGTGTAGGTTAGTAATCATTATTGATGCCAGTGGACCCCATCGTTGGGCATAGTGTTCTTCTTAGAAGCAGAGCAAGTACACGTGTCCATTCCAAGCCTTATTTCTGATGCCAGCAAAGCTGTTTATGAGGACAGCAGCCATCCCAGGGACACACCTGAAAAGGGGTGGGCCAGCCTCTGCATGCTGACCATCCAGATTCCATGACTGCCCATCAGCCTGAAGGAGGTGATAACCATCTGTCTCTCCCCACCCTGCCCAGAAGACCAGCTCGGCAGGACTGGGAAGGACTTTAGACTACATCTTGCGCAGTCCTCTTACCCAGGTAGGATGTAAGGAGAAGAGATAACCTATCCAGGTCTCACTAGACCTAGGACTGCACGGCAGTATGTGTAGTATTGAAAGAAGTATTTGGATTTGATGCTTAGTTTCTCAACTTGCAGGCTAAGAGTCCTCACAGGACTTCAGTTTCCTCATCTGGACAATAGGCTTAATAACAGAGTCTCTTACCAGGGTTGTTGCAAAGATTAAATGAAGGTTAAACATAATGTGGGCCACAGACGTCATGTCTGTCCTCTCTATTCCTGCTGTAGTGCCCTTTGACTGTAGCACACTGGAAAGACGCAAAACACTGATTTTTGGATTTCCTTTCCATTGTGAAGCTGTATGGAGACGCAGAGTTGGTCTGGGTGCTATTGTGCTGAACTCCTATAACCTCGATAGGGAAGGTACCAGGTTCACGAGGCTGAAGAAGAGACCCAGAGCCAGAAAATGAGAGTTGGGGTTTGATTGGCGGCTTACATACGGGGAAGCAAGTCCAGTGGTGGCGAGCTGGACAGAAAAACCCACCCACTGACGACAGGCTAGGACAGATAAGGACACAACATCATCCTTACCTACAGAAAAGGTCCACTGGTGACAGGCTGGACACCATGTCCTCCTTACCTACAGTCCAGCCGCAGTGGGCTGGACAAGATAACCCAGGGATGAAGGGCTGGCAGGAAAACCACAACCAATTACAAACCGCATGCAGTTTATATTCCATCTTCACTTAACACCCTCCCCTTCATGACCTCCAACTGGCAGCCTTCATCCAACTCGAAAGTCAGGGCTTCAATCTTCTGTACAGCCCATATTCCATGGGACAGACCGGGGGCTCAGATGTTCCTCGTAGACAAGGAACAAGTCTCCAGGTTGGCCACTCCCGGATTCCAGACCTTGGAACACACATTCAGGTGTGTCTGTCATACAAGGTCATTGTAAGCATATGCTTAAGTTATTGCTACCAGGTGCATTTACCCTACAGGTGCCAGTCTGAAAAACTGATTGGGGCCCTGACTGCCTCTCTGTTGCTCTGTGACCCTCCGCTGGTCACTTTCCCTCTGGCATTCAGTTTCTTTTTTTTTTTTTTTAAGACAGAGTCTTGCACTCTCACCTGGGCTGGGGTGCAAAGGTATGATCTTGGCTCTCTGTAACCTCCGCTTCCCGAGTTTATGCGATTCTCTTGCCTCAGCCTCCCAAGTAACTGGGATTACAGGCACACACCACCACACCCAGCTAATTTTTTGTATTTTCAGTAGAGACAGGGTTTCACTATGTTGACCAGACTGGTCTCGAACTCCTGACCTCGTGATCTGCCCACCTCAGCCTCCCAAAGTGTCGGAATTAAAGGCGTAAGCCAACACATCTGGCCAGTTTCTTCTATTAACAGCACTACCCAATAGAAACTTAACATGAGCCACATATGTAATTTTAAATAGTTTAGTAGCCACTTTATAAAGAGTGAAAAGAATAGGAAAAATAATTTAATAATGTTTTTACTTAGCCCGATAATCCAAAATATTATCATTTCAACATGTAATCAATATTTAAAAATCATTAATGAGATTTTCCTTTTTCCTTCTTACTAAGTTTTTGAAATCTGAGTGGTTCTCAATCCAGCATGATTTTGGCAATTGTCTGGGGGTGTTTGGGGCTGTCAAAACTGGGGTGGGCGTCGGGGTGCAGGGGTGTGCATTGCTGGCATCTGGAGGGTAAAGGCCAGGGGAGCTGCTAAACATTCTACGAGCACAGGACAGCCCCTGCCACAAAGAACAATCTGGTCCAAAATGCTAAGTGAGCCTGTTTTCTACTTACAGCACATCACGATTCAGATTAGGGGCTAATCGAGTTCTCAGAAGCCACATGCAGCTGGTAGCTACCATATTGGACGGCACAGCTCTATAACCTAAAATGTCTGGACATGCACTTGGGAAAGCAAATTTTTAAAAACTTGGGTTTTGGTGAATTTGTTTTCCTACTCATCCTGGAATAACTGACCAAAAGAGCTGTGGCTGGGTCACCAGTCGCTGGCTGGCTAAGGGCAGAACCCATCTGTCCCTAGCTGGTTAGACCCTTCTTAAGCCACGCGCCCTCCCCAGCGAGACTGAGCCTGGAACAGACAGTGAACCCTGTTGTTCTTTTCTGGGGAGACAATGCTGCAGGCCCTGCTACCTGCCTGACAGGGCCATTGTGGCTGGAGGAGAAAAGGGCTTTGTCAGGACAGCAGCCGAGGAGCCTGCAATTCAATGGGGCCCTTTATGTCTGTATTGGTGAGATGCTCTGATGCCAGCCCTGTTGAGGCCCAGCCCCCTTCTAGAGCAGATGGGGAGCCTGAGGCCCAGTGAGGGTGTGGAAGTCCCTGCAGTGGATCCTGGCCTCCTTCACCTCGTGCCACTGCCCTAAAACATGAGATTCCCCTGACTCTGAAAAGGCCCGTCTCGAAACACAGGATAAGCTCAATATTGCCCTTAACCCCTGACGAGGAGGCCCCTGCCCTGACCCTAAAATTTAGAGGTTCCACAAATCACAAACACACACAAAAATAAATGTATTAAAGAACATATATGTGCATCTGTCTTTCAGGATCTGGGCTCAGCTCTGGCAACTACAATCCGAAACATCCTCTCTTGTGATTTAAAAAGTCAGGCCACCAAGAGACACCACTATTTAAAGTGTTCTCAACATACACACATGTACACGCACACGCGCACAATATAACTAAGCGAGGTGATCGATGTGTTAATTAGCTTAATTGCTGTATCATTTCACGACATACACCTATATCAAATCATTACGTTGTACATCTTAAATATATATAATTTTCATTTGTCAGTCATACTTCAATAATGCAAGGAAGAAAAAAGATAGGATAGGACCAGAGGGAAATACTCCACATGTCTCACCTTATGTCCTTGGAACAAAAGCAATCAAGTTTGAATGCAGTGAGGGTTTGAGGGCTGTACCACGCCGGGTTCAGTGCTGACTCTGTTTTATAGCACAAGGAGGAGCTGAACAGCAGAAATGCTTAGGGAAGAGAAAGAGAAGTTGAATTCTCTTGTCACATTCTCCCTTGCAGGTAGCATGGATGCATATATTTTTTCATCATGAAGTATCACTTCCGAATAGGGCCAATCATCCAGTGTCTTGCTGCTCTGTGTTCAAATTCATACAGTCTTGGAGGTGTTCACCTCTACTTGAACGGTGGTACCATACACCTCCAAAGTTACAGGCGGGCCTGGGCACACTCACCGGCAGACTTAGATACATTCGTTGGCAACAGCTATGATTTCCGTCAACTAAAGAAAAGAAAATCAAGCTTTTAAAATTTAAAAAATTCCTTAAGGAATTAAATTTTAAGTTAGTTTTATTCAGAAGTCTTACTGAGGGTCTGTAATCCCAGCACTTTGGGAGGCTGAGGCGGGTGGATCATCTGAGGTCAGGAGTTCAAGATCAGCCTGGTTAACATGGTGAAACCCTGTCTCTACTAAAAATACAAAAATTAATGGGTGTGGTGGTAGGTGCCTGTCATCCCAGCTACTCTGGAAGCTGAGGTGGGAGAATCTCTTGAACATGGGAGGCGGATGCTGCAGTGAGCGGAGATCTGGCCACTGCACTCCAGCCAGGGCGACAGAACGAGACTCTGTCTCAAAACAAATAAAATAAAATAAATCTTACTGAGGACTAGAGACTGAAGACAAAAGTCTGGGAGGAGTCTTTCAGAGAGGTCTTGCCCCACTGCTCTGAAACAGTGTTTTAGCTCATGGCTGATATACAGGTAGCGGAAGTGCAGTGTGTGCTCAAACATTACATCAAACTTGCTCAGAAGTTACAGTAAAGCAGAATCACGTGAAAGTCTGGGTGCAAGAGTATATCTGGTTATAGATGACAGAGGCGTAGTCACTAACCTTGTCAAACTTTGTCCTAAGTGTAGGAATAGGCAAGGTCTAGGGTCATTGATCTTTGAAGAAATATAGTGTCTCAGACAAGAGATGCGGGGGCCTTGTGCTCTCTCCTGTTTTGTTTTCAAAGCATTTTTCCAGAGAGGTGCACATCATTAGAGAATCAAGGACTTGTGAAATTATGTGGCAAGTAAAATGAGCAAACGTGGCCTGTTACATTCGCTGTGCCTCACATTTCCCTTTCTCTTTTAACCTCTCCTCTCCCCAACCCGATCCCGACCCCTTGGAGAAGGGGCTGTTGCATTTGACAAAGAAATTGATCCTTATGCAGAGTAAAGCAACTTGTTCAAAGTCGTCCAGCGAGTTAGGGGAAGCCCCATGCTGGAAGAACCCATCCTTGGAGGCCCAGCTAGAAGTCTGCAAGTAGACAGTGGAGGGTAGTAGCTAGGAGGACAGAGTTGGGGGTCAGAGCAGCTCTGTTTATACCTGGCACCCTCATTCACTCACTAACTGTGCAACCTTGGGAGCAAGTGTCTTGGAGTATTTAAAGTATAGTTTTTTCGTTAACATTAAGGGAAGCTGGTGACAGGTACATGCAAACTATACTATTTTCGTAACTCTTCTGTAAGTCTAAAATTATCTCATGATAAAATGTTTTAAAATAACAGTTTCCTCTCATCTGTAGCATGGAAAGAGTAAGGATATCTGTCTCCTAGGAGGCTTCGATGAGACAGTCCCTGGAAAGGGGTTAGCACGGTGTCTGGCCCATGCTGACGACTCCATACATGACAGTTCTTAAAAGCTGCCTCCTCCAGGAAGCCGGTGACCACCACTGGCAGAACCAGTCACTGCTTTCTCAGTAGCCCCACACCCTCACTGCCCAGGAGCAGTTTCTTTCAGTGTAAAATGCCAGGCGGCTTAATGTGGCCACTGACAGCATGAGTTTGATCCTGGCTTTTCCACTTCCTAGCTGAGATCCCCGGCAAGTTACTTGAGCACTTTGTGCCTCAGTTTCCTTCTGGTAAATAAGAAAAGTCTGTACATTATAAGGCAGTTATGAAGATTAAATGAACTGGAATTTTTCAGCACTTAGAACTCTGGCCTATAGCAAACTCTACATAAGTGTTTTTATGGTCCAGGTCAGTGTTTTTCTAACTTGCTTTTTACTGTTACCCATAGTAACAAATATGCTTTCCATCACAATGTGTGTATGTAAATAATTTTAAAGTGGTAATTTCAAAAACATTGGTCTCTAAGAGATGATCACACTTTGTTTCCCCCATTAAAATATAAGGTACTTGGGGGACAGGGAATATAGTCTGACTCATTTTGGTCTCCAATAACTTCATTTCCTTCTTTCATTTAATTTACCAAGCTCCTATTATCTGTTCATTAGACATAAATATATATTGAGCATTTATTAGGCACTCACTATGTACCTGTTACTTACCAGCACAGATCAGACCTAGGTTGAATCAATGAATGGGTAAGGCAAGGAAAGGAGGTCCAGGGCAGAAGGAAGGGAAGAAGGGTAGGAGGGTGGAATGGGAGGAAGGGAGGAAAGGTGGAGGGGAGGAGGGAGAGGGGGAGGGTGGGAGGGCGAGAAGGAAGGAAAAGAAGGAACCCAGGTTCCCAATTGGCAGCAGTACCCACTCCCAACCCCTACGTTGCCACTTCCACCTCGGCAGGAAAGTTGCCGCTTCTCCAGCCATCCAGGGCCCCTGTACTCTTTCACTGGGGATGGAGCTGGGCACCGGTTCAGGCATCGGAGGGGTGGTGCCGGGGAACCCGCCCCCTCACCTCTTGCCCCTGGCACGGGGCGGTGACTCCAGAGCTGGGAGCCTGGCAGCGTCCTCACCCCGGGAAGGCAGGCGCCCCTCTGTGGGCGGCCCGAGCCCTGGGCCCCCTTCCCCCGGAGTTGCCCAAGACGCCGGGTGACTCCTCCCCGAGGACCCTCCCCTTCTTGGAGGCGTCACTCTCCTCACTCCTGGGTCCAGACCCCCGGCGGCTTCTCGCGCGCGACCCAAGCGGGAGACAAGTCGCGGCCACCTGCTCCGGAGCTGGGGAGCCCGGGCGCCGGGCGCCGTCCGCCCGCGCGTCGGTTCATGTGCTCTGGGCCCCATGGAGCTGCGGGTCAGCAACGCCAGCTGCGAGAATGGTGCGTACGGCAGGGTTGGGGACCAGGCGGACTCCGTGCTTCGCGCCCTCCCCTCCTTCCCACCCCTCTCCCTCGCATCCTCTCCTCCCAAGGGGGCCAAAGCTGGGGAGAGGCAGGGCCAGCACGAGGTGGCTCCCACCCAGCTTTGAAGATCAGGGTTCTGGCTGAGACTTCATTTTCATCTTCGCGGCTGGGGTGGCTGAGAGGAGGCAGGGAAGGAAAGGATGTCCCTGGGTTGAGATGGGGGGTTAGTTGGGACAGGTATTTTGTCGACAGCAGACACTCTGAGAGTTGGGGGTGGGGGATTCTGTGCTTTTAATGTACTGTTGTGCTTTTAATGTATAGTTGCTTTTAATGTATAGTTGCTTCAGGTTTAGTACCTGAGCAGTTGGGCTTTCTCTTTGGGTCAGTGGGAGGACCACCACAGGACAGTCTTGTCTTTGGAAAAGAAAGAAAAAGAATCACAGGAAGGGGTAAAGAAAGCCCATTGGCTTCCTATTGCATTCTGATCATAAAGCAGGTAGTGGACTAGGCCCTTTACCTGCATTATCTCCCTGAATCCTCTAGAAGGTAGGTAGATATTATTATTTTACTATCTTGCTATCCCCATTCTAAAGATCCAGAAACTGAGGTTCTGAACAGTTAATAATTTGCTCAAGGTAATACAGTAAGGAAATGGAATATAGATCCAGGGCTAGTGGACAGTAAAACCTCGACTCCTTCCTTGGTGTGGCTCCACTTTCCCACCTTGTCTTGGAACTGCAGGCTGTGAGATGTCCCTGTTCCTCTAACCTCTTCCCTTCTACAGTGAAGCTTTCAAAGCCAGCCCGTTAGGTGTCTGACTTTGGTTTCCTGAACAAGGCAGGACATTTTCAGCCTCACCTTTTCTCTGGGCCAGAATGTGTTCCCCAGTCCTAGCATATTCCGGAAGGGATGACAGGAATCATCTGGCCTATGCTCAGAATTGGATTACTTTGGCCATCAGCCCTCTGTCTTTTACTTTTCACTGCAGTGGGAGAACTTGACTCAATGGAGGGTGCTGAGCCCTTGGGTGCTGCAGGCTTTACTGTGATCGCCAAGTCCATCCACAGAGGGTTCTTTGGCTCCACCTGCTAGAGGTGCATCTTCAGGGAGCAGGGGAAGGGCATGGGGATGAGTTTGGTCTTCCTCTCAGGAGTCACCTCCCCTAATCCATGTCATCCCAGGCTCTGGCTCATTTCCTGGGCTCAGGGAACTCCCCAGATTCAGCTCTTGGGCAAGGAAGCCTGAGCTGGAGAAACAGGAATGAGCAGCGCAGAACAAGTCTGATTAGGGACTGAGATGCCTCTTGTCTCATCTTCCCTTGATTGTGACACGAGTTTTGGAAAGAGATCTCACACTGCAAAAGACACATGAATGTGCCCTAGTGGGTGCCGGATCCAGATCTTTCACCAGATTTTGGGGTGACCTCAGCAAGCCCTTCCCCTTCTCAGTTTCCCCAGCTGAAAATAAGAATTTAGGCTGCTTTCTAAGGGCTCTTCAAGCTCTGTTATTCATGGGTCTGTGTCATGGAAGAAAAGTCAACATTGCCCTTAGTCTGTTCCACCAAGATGCCACTCTGCACTGCAGATGTGCCAGAGCCAGAGCTGCTTGACCATGGACTTGGGGGCCCTTCCAGGCACTGGCTGGGAGTTCTAGGTAGGTGGGAGGGACACTTGGTTGAGGCTTACATCCTTGGCATAGGGACCTGGGCCTTGGTGGCACACAGCTTGAAAAAGGCTACCTCCAGAGGTCACAAACTCAGATGCCTACGAAGGCCAAGCACATGCCAGAAATTACTGAAAGGAGCCAGATAAGACTCTTGGGGAACTGCAGAAAGTATGTCCTATTTTAGGGGGCAACACTGCCCAGCTGCAGCCAGTGGTTGCCTTAGAAGAGGGCGCAATATGGTGAGCAGATCTGATTTTTCACCATAGCCTCACACCTGAATTTTCATGGAAAATCTCCCAATTTTAAAATATTTTCTATTTTAAAATGCCTCTTAGGGCCAGGCACGGTGGCTCACGTCTGTGATCCCAGTGCTTTGGGAGGCTGAGGCAGGAGGATAGCTTGAGGCTAGGAGGTCAAGACCACCCTGGGCAACACAGCGAGACCCCCCCCATCTCTACCCAAAAAACAAAAACAAACAAACAAAAAGCCTCTTAGGAGGCCAGATGCTACCTGCTTTATTGAGGTATGTGTGGTGGTTAAGAGCACGGGCTTTGGCATCATATAAGCTTAGAATCTGACACTGGCTTCACTACTTAGTACCCATGTTTTGGCTTTGGGCAGGTTACTAAACTTATCAGAGCTTTGGTTTCTTCAACTAAAAGCCTAGAAATGATTGTCGTGCCTGTTTCCAAGTGGTCGCTAGAGACCCTCCTGGAAAACCCCAGAGCAGAGGACCATGTGAGTGGTAGCACTGGAGAATTATTGGCTATTCTTTGCAGTTTCATTGAACTTGTGTACTTCTTCTGACTGAGGGTCTGCCCCTGTGCCCAGGTTTGTGTCTGGCGTGTGGTGGTACAAATCTGTTCTGGTCATGCAAAGAAAGCCCCTAGCTAGAGTGAGCACTCACTGAACATTATTATTTTTGGATGGAGGCACAGTATATGGGTATAGCGCTGCAGTAGCAGAAGCACAGGATTTGAAACAGTGGCCAATTCCAATATTTTAAAAGTGTGCAAATGTCCCCAGTGTGACTCTCTCACCATGGTCTTCTCATCCAGGTTCCCTGCTCCAACTCCACTGCTCCTCCCAAGAAGTCCTGTGCCAGATTGTCGGTGACCTCAGCCCTGAGGTGCCCAGCAATGCCACCTTTCACAGCTGGCAGGAAAGGCTCCGGCAGAACTATGGCTTCTACATCGGCCTGGGCCTGGCCTTCCTGTCCAGCTTCCTCATTGGCAGCAGCGTCATCCTCAAGAAGAAAGGCCTCCTGCGACTCGTGGCCACGGGAGCCACGAGAGCTGGTAGGTTCCTAGGCCAGGAAAGGATGGGGCACAGGGCAGCTGAACCCTCACAGGGGCCAGGGCTGCAGTCTAAGAGGATGGCCTCGGCGAGATACAAAAGGCTCATTGTCAACCCTGTCTGGAATCCCACCTGCCAACAGGGTTAGGGTTTAGGGTTAAAAAGGAAGGTCTCCAACCGGAGGTCTCAGTTCAGAGATCCAGCAGGAGGACTTCCTTTAGAATCCAATTTCCTGAGACCTTCATGGTGTGTTTATTCTAGGAGGGAAGGGACAAGTCTCAGGACCAAGAATCAGATACTGCAGGTCTGGTCTTGGTCTTACTTCCTACCAACGTCATCACAGGCAAGTCACAGCTTCTCTGCAAAATGGGAATAGCTACCTCTGCTGAGAGCAATGTCAGACGCTAGTGTACCCTCACTTGTCATCCAATTGAGCTCCCTTCTGGGCTGCCAGAAAATGGTGAGGTCTCTGACCCCACGGGATTTGCTTGTTTGGGAAATAAGATGTTTTTCCATGAAACAGTGCTTAAGAAAAGGAATCCTGTACAAAAGGACTCATTCATTTAATCACTATTTATCGCATGCCTGCTGTATGCCAGGGACAATGCTAGACATGGCGATTCAGTGTCCTCATGGAACCTTCAGTCAAGTGGCAGAGACAGATGAGTCAGTAGGCAGTTGTTTTATCATGTGTTAAGTGCCATCATGGGGAAAACACAGCCTGCTATGGGGGAATATTTTGGAGGGGTGTGTAAAGCCCAGACTCAGGAGATTAGGGGAGGTTTTTCTAGAAGAGATGATCTCTAAACTGAGACTTAGATGATGAGGAGACAGCAAGGTAAAAGGGGAAAGAGGGAGACAGTGTTCCAGGCAGAAGGAATAATATGTGCAAAGGCTCAGAGGTGAGAGAACTTGAGTGATATTAGAAATCGAAAGTCGTTCAGGATGGCAGGAGCAGGAGGGGTGCATGGTGAGCGAAGGGCCAGCTTATGAAGGGTCTTGTAAACGGAAGCACAGAGCCTAAGTGCAATTGTTAGGTGACTGAAAGGTTTTAGGCAGGGGAGTGACACAGACTAATTTGCAATTTGAAAAGATCCCTGGTTTCTGGGTGAAGAACGGATTAGGGGACAAGCCTGGAGCCTGGGAGGCCAAGTAGGTGAGCGAAAGGACAGAACTTGGGCCTGGAAGATGGAAACAGGAATGGAGACAAGTGGCGGATTCCAGAGCTAGTTTTTGAAGGTAGAGCTTACCAGCTTTGATACAGGTTGGCTTCAAGCAAGGAGGGGCGGAGGAAGAAGTCAAGGATGACTCATGCTTTTGACTTGAGCAACTGGGGAGATGAAGGTGCTATTTCTTGAGATGAAGAGTGTCGAAGGAGGAACAGGTTTATGGGAAGATGATGCATTCAGGTTTGGACATGTTCAATTTAATGTTTCTATGGGATGTTGCACTTTGGAAGCAGACTATTAGGGTTCTAATTCTGGTTCCTCAATTCCTGGTGATTCAATTCTGGGCTAGAAAAGTGTCCATTTCTATGCCTCAGTTTCCTCATCTATAAAATGGAGATAAGAATAGTACCAGCCTGAAGGGTTATAAGAAAATGCAACATAGTTAGAATCATACCTAGCACAGAGTAGCACTAGTATTGGCATTACTATTATCTCAGTCAGAGGTTCCCACAGTTGGAGGTACCAGTGTAAACACTAGCACTAGTACTGGTATTACTGTTTTCTCAGTGGGAGGTTCC